CTCTCCCCTCTCTCTCTCCCTCTCCCTCTCTCTCTCTCTCTCAGATGAAGTCGCCAACGGGGCCAGCAGCGTTGCCGCCACGGCTAAGCAGGCTTGCGCAGCAGGCGCCTGGCAGTGGGGCAGTAATCGCTGCCGCACGGGATGACAGGCTGGCCGAGGCCGTGGGGTCATCTGTCTCCACCATGGATTCCTCCTACACTGCTGAGGCTAGCGTCAGCAGCGAGCTCTCACCCTCGGGAATCGTCACAACAAGCCCTGGTAAGGACTCCTCGGGCCACAGGGTGGTTTCGGAGCTGCCACTTGAGAACTTCATGGCATTAACATGGCAGGCTTCTGGGTACGCGGGATCCATATCCTCCTCGGGACGCGGCGTTACACACGCCAGGGCTTCTACTCCAAAGGCCTTTAAGGCCTGGCACTTAAAGGCGTCGCGTCCAAGGAGGACATGAAATCCGTGCGCGAGCAAGAGGGGGGATATGAGTTGGGCGAGCTGGATGAGTGAGGGATGCATCTGGGTTGGCTCTCGTCAAGGCTGAGCTAACCCCTTGCCGTCTTATGCGCCGGCTTTTGCTTTTTTGATTATCTCTGGTTGGATTAGGAACACGGGGCCGGCTATTTCGCTGACGTGGTTTTCTTCTTTGCTTGTCCCTCTCTTACGAATCGCGCATCTTGGGGAAACCCCTGCGGTTCTGCTGTCTGTCCTTACTCGAATGCCCTGCTCGCTGCTGGTGGCGCTACCGGAGACGGCCGTAAGTCTATGGTGGTTCCCTCGCTTGCAGGCATGCCTCATGGTGTGCAGCTGCCCTACACAATTTCTGAGGCGCTGCCGCCCATCTCACCACCGGCGCCACAGCAGCAGCAGCTGCCTTTCGCCGCTCACCACACAATGTCGCCCCCGCAGCAGCAGTACCAGCCCCAACCTCAACACCAGCCCCAATATCAACACCAGTACCAACTCCAGCAGCATCAACATCCACTCCAGCCTCAACACCAGCAGCTCACAACTTTGCAAGCTAGTACTTTGCCGCCGCAGCAGCAGCCCCAACAGCCACAAGCGTGGCATACCTCCCTAGGGCCGATTCTGACGACTCAGGAGCCTATGGCCAGGGCGCAGGTAGCGGCGATGGCGGCTGGCGGCCCCGGGCCCGGCCCTTCCGGTCCTGGCAACAGCACGGGACGCAGCAGGGAGAGCAGCGCTTCCATGTGGGCTCCACCGCTGCCAATAGCAGTTGGGGGAGTTGCAAGCGGTCACGGTGCCATGCGTGCGTACGGCATGCACTCCGACGGTGCAGCGGCAGCGGTCGCCAAACGCGCCGTCGCCGTCGCTGGGCCCCATGCTGCTGCTGTGAACATGCCCGTTGGGCCAGGCTTGCATTCGGGCGGCTCACGAGGTTCGCGTGGACATTCCCGCCATGCGTCGTACGACAGCATTGACGTAAACTCGAGGGACGGTGACGGCGTCAGCCAACGCGGTAACAGCGGGGGTGTCGGCGGCGGTGCTGCCGTGGACGCACGTGCAACACCGTTTGTGTTGTATGGCGGCGGTGCCGCAGCCACCGCGCCGCCGCCACCGGCGCCGCTGCAGCGGATTGCCGCCGACCCAACCTCTGACTTGTTGCAGCAGAATTTGCAGCTCCAAAGGGAGTTGGAGCTCTTAAGACAGCAAGTGGCGCTATTCACTCAAGTGACGGGGCTGGCCCCCGCCGCTCTTGCGGCTGCCGGCATGTCGCCGACAAACACCCACGCCTACTCTGCACAGCATCCCACCATGCTAGCGCCGCCTCCGCAGCCTCAGCCGGCCCCACCCTCGACCCTGCAGCAGCAGCTGTCGCCGCCGGCGCAGCAGCAGCAGCAGCAGCAGCAGCAACATCAACAACAACAAATCTCAGCTGTCGCTATGGCCGGTGTTGGCGGCGGCGCTGGCAGCTTGCCGCCACATCCAGGCAGTGTTGCACCGCAGGCTGCCGCACTCTTCCGTAACGCAGCCGTCAGTCACGGGGCGGGTAGCGGTGGGCAGGCCGCGTTCGTACACACGGCGTCGCAGCAGCAGCAACAGCAGCAGCAACAGCAGCATGCGATGCTTTCCCACGCCCACAGCACTTGCATGGGGCCCACAGCAACTGGAGGAGTGTCTGTGTCTCTGTCAGCCCATGGCTTCACGGCGGGAGGGCACGCGAACCTATGGGCCGAGGCGGCGTCGGGCTCGAACAGCACGTCAGATAGACAGCAGGTTGTTCGGATGGGTTTCTTCGGGTCTGACCACTTGTTTGACCTACGTTACAAGAAGTGGTAATTTCGCATTCACGGCATTCGTTAGGGCGCAGGCGGGTAGGTCTGATGCTGAAATCGTCTTCCCGCTGTTCAGCGGCCGCGTGTGAACTGTACCGTTCAGCGCCCCGCCAGGGGGTCCGTAGCGCCGACAGGAGCGCAATTAATACCGTTTTTTGTCCGTTCGGCGTCCGCGTTCCCCGCTGAAGCTGCCTTCGTTGCACAGAAGCCGCCGTGCTTCATGTAGCTCACCCGTCCTATTTGACCCTATCTAACCCTTTTATCTAAACCGTGGGTGGCCACTTCAGGGGAGTCTTGCGGCTGTGGCAGGGCCAGGGGCTCCTCCAGGGCCCATGTCAGCGCCGCCGTCGTCCAATCGCCACAAGCGGTCTGCTTCGATTGACGTGTCCTCCCTGATTGCGACGCGGGACGGCATAGGGCCCGCGAAGGACTACCTGGCGCCGGCGGCCTCACAGTCGCCGGCGGCTGCCAGCCATGCGCCTCAGGGCCACCTGTCGCCAGAACGTCGGTCGCCCCTGGCGCGAGATGGCGGCACAGGCACCGGCACTGGCACTGGCAATTTCATGATGGGACATAAGACCGCACCGCCGGCGTTGGAGGCCTTGCGCCAGAATCACCCCGGCATGTCGTTGGCCCAAGCGGTGAGAGACTATGGTGTGGTGGATGGATGTCGTTCATGAGAGGAAAGATGACTTCCAAACCCCCGAAATTGAAAACTAAGGATTAGTCAAGGAGTCGAGCGCGTGGTGGCAGGGTGTGGCATTGCTAAAATGTTATTGCGCTCTGTGTTACCACAAAAGCTGGGGGATTGAGGAATATTCCCGCGTTTCAATTCCGACGTGGCTGCCTTCCGTCTGCGTGGTAAGGAATATTTGACATCGGGTAACCTGCATGCAACGGTAGCGGAGAAGAACGGTGTCCCCCGCCCTCGGACACAGGGCTGGGGGTTCATCGCTTAGATGTGTTTCGCATGGCCTTCCCTCACGCCCTGCCCTGTCTTCTTCTAATGCACGCTTCCTATTAACATGCCGACTGTCATGTCTTAGGCTTTGGCGGAGTTTGAGGAGGAGGTGTTGGAAGAGGGGTATGATGAGGACGACGAGGAGCCTGAAGACGACGAGGACGGCGACGGGGGGGAGATGGAGCCGGCCGTGGACGAGTCGTTGAATTCCGCAGCCGGCATTGATAGGCTGGGCTCCGTCATCTTGTCTGTGGCCCTGCCGCTGGCGGCGCAGGGCTCCCTGCATCGGCAGATGTACGTGTCACAGCAGCAGCGGCCGCCGCTGACGATGACGCCCACGCAGCCCCAGCAGCCCCAGCAGCAGGCACCAGCGGCGGGCTGCAGTCCTCCAAACCACATTGGCCATGTCCCATACGAGGTGAGCTAAAGCACTGCGCGACGGTTACCTTCTCTCGTTGCCTCACTAGCTGTCGTACCGTACCCGTCGCATACCGTTGCAGCGATATTGACAGAGTGTATAGACTGTAACCATTTGACGGCTAATGCTGATTTCATGGCCCGTTGTTCTTGTCCCGCGCCCATTCTTCTTTATCCCACAGCCACAGTACTCGAACGAGCCGTCTCTAAGTTCCATTCCATCTCCGACCAAAGACGGCCTGGTCCGCCCCAACTCCGAGACCTCCTACCCTTCGTCTACCAGTGGTGAGG